AAGACTGTGAGTGACATAAGAAAGGATCTGAAGAGAAGGGAAGCTGCTCACATCATAGTGTTCAGGATGCAGAAAAGAGATGAGCTGGGGAGGGAGCTTTCCTCCTCAAGTTCATATCCCCCTTGCTGTACACCTAATCAGGACCCATCATCTAATAGCAAGGCAGCACAGTCTCACAAGTCACTCACCTTCCAAAAGTACTGTGTCTCACTACATGTGGACCTTGGGGGACAATCATGATCAAACCATAATAATGGCCATGGTCAAGCCCCACCTTCTCAGCAGCAGCTGGACCTGTCCCCACCCTAACACATAGATTTGATGCATTTGCTTTCATGCTGTGTCCTACAAAGAGGCATACAATCCGCCTCCAGGATAAGCCTGTTTCAGCAATGAGCACTTGGTCAGTGCAATGGACATGAGTCTGAGTCTGACAGAATCGCAGTCCAGAAAATTCAAACGCAGTTTATTTGCGTCTGGGGTGGGAGTGGGGTAAGGATGCTCAGTAGAATTTTTCTTCTGTCTCCAGGCATTTCGCTTCTGACTCCCATAGTCTAACCATCTAAGACATGCATTTGGCTGAGTTTTCTGCCCATCTCTCCCTACAGTTCTGAAAGTTCAGCTGTCTGGTGGAAGTCCCATAGCCCAACTCATCTCAGCACATTCCAGAGAGCATTCCACAACACGCTGTACATTTACACTCTTTTCTAACGTGTGTTCTTCTGTCTTGCATGTCCCACACCTGAAGAAGGCACCACTCAAACCCTGTTTGCAAAAGTATAATCCACCAACTTGCAAATTCACAGATTTTACTTTTCTTTCTTGGCCTCCAATTGTACTATCTATATTTATTGCTCTCTCTCTCTCTCTCCCTTTGTTGATGATAAACAAGCTCTTACTCATCACTAGAGAATTCTCCCCGGACAAAGCCCTACAACTGAACAGACTGTGTCAAGGCCATAGAGAATACTCAAGTCCTTTCTTGATTCTACAGAATTCATAGTGGAGAGAAACCCATCAACAGCAAAGACCGTTGCAAAGCACTTAACTAAATGCTCAAAAACTATTATACGACAATTCTTCCTGGAGAGATATCCTACAATTTAAAGATGTGGAAAATCCTTTAAGAATTGTTCATCTCTTACCACAACAGAATTCATTCTGCAGAGAAACATTATAGGGATGTAGATGACAGGAAAGCCTTCAACAATTACTCCACCTTTACAGATCATTTCTAGTGGACAAAGCTCCATCATAGAAGTAATTTAGACACACTTTCCCTACTATTTAGATATAAGACAACACCATGCAATTTATATTCATTTATAATTTCTATCAGGTTTAGTCTTCTGCAGTGTCTGTAATAATTATTCACCTCTAATCATCATTAGAGAATTTATACTGGAGAGAAACCATAGAGAAAAATGTCACAAAGAATTAATAGAATTTCAGTCCTTATCTTGCATCAGAAAAGACATATGTAACCCTCACATATACACCAAATGAAGAAATACATTCTCTGAAACCACCTCAAAAAGTCAACTATTTATTTTTAAAACATCGTTTACAAATATTAAGTTGGAGGAAAGCCTTCACTCATATCTCAAACCTTAATGTATGTAAAAAAATTAATACTGGGGAGAAATAATATAGTATGGAAAATGTGCAATGTCCTTAAAATTTACTCGACGTTATCACCTGATGTGGAAAAAGAAATTCCAAAAATATCAGAGAACATTCAGATGAGTCACTTCTAATGGGATATAACTTTAGAGTAAGTTTATCTTTACTAAGCAGTGTTGTTTTGGAAGATTCTATATAGAAAAGTGCTCAAATTGGTCATTGTAATAGAACAGTAAGATGTTTTCTGCTCCATTAAACAGTTTTATGCAGAGCATTTAAAGTGAACTTTTAATTGCTTTCTTGATACTTAGTCTAAAAATGAATTTTCTAGTCAATGAATTGGATCTTCATGTGATATCACTGTTGATTAATAATGCTATTTCCTTCTACAACAGAAGTGACCTCATCATTCTTGCTCAAGTTTGCAGTACACAGAAAGTATTAATATACTCCTGTGTAAAGACTACAATGATATTTCTGATTATTTTTCTTCAGGATCATTAAACATTCAATAATCAGAAGATGATTAGTCCTCTAAATAATTTTGGATTCCTTTTTATTTTCTGTTATTATTGGGTAATGATAGTGCTTATATAATCATAATAATAAATCCTAGCTTTCTGAATCATTAAATGTGAGGTATGAAATTTTTCACTAAAATATTCTCCATATATTACCCCTCTGTGCTCAAAATCACATGCAGACCTTAGTATGAAAGTATATTAACTTCAATACACACATATTAGTATCTAATTATAACCCTCATGCATAGTACAATTGTAGTATTATTGTAGGTTAATGTGTGCCTTTGCACATAGCTTTTGAGAAGAAACACTATTGAAATGACGATAATTTCAAGTTACTACTTTACTAGCCAAATAGAAACTTTATGTATTGGGAAAAAAATCTCTTTTGCCTGGAAACAATTCACTATCCAAAATAATGTCTCAGGCTTAGAATCTCCCCATGCTAAGTTTCTTGCATGTTTGATCATTTGTTATTTATAAAGACCTAATGTGGTTCCTTTAGCAAAGTTTATTAAGTATTGTATATATTTCATTAGAAAACAGATATTTCTCTTAAAGGTGTCCCAACATTAATGTGAAAATGTAATTCCACTGTGAGATGTCAACATAGATTTTCTCTTTGGTATATTCCATCATTTTCTTCTCAAGGAGAACACTTTAAATCATTTTGACCTTATTCTGACTTCCAACTTCATAAGAGTATAGTATTAACATGCATTCACTTAGAATATTTGTGAAAGTTGTTGGGGCCACATAAATCAGAGGGTTGTTTTGATATTTGAATAAAATAAACATACCAAACAATATACAATATATAATAAATAATCCATAAATAGAAAATAGTATTGCTATTTCAATGAGTTCATTTGCTTTATGTAAGAAAATGAAATATCCAAGTTGAAGAAGTGATACTAACTCTACATAAGGAGGATATTCATTTCTCACATGAATCACATGATCCTCAGTTTAGTAAGAGGGAACTGCTAATATCCTAAGTATCAAAAGCATGCCTTGACTTTGGAGTTTTATCTTTAGCCACATATTCAGCCCAGCTATTTTTCATTGCCTGTGACAGCTGTTAGTTTTTCACTGATGTCCATACTTCATATCATTTCACAGAGATACTTTTCAATGCTTGGGTCGTGTGGAGTTATTCTACTGGTAGTACCAGTTTGATTTTGGAGAATGTGGGAAGTTCTGCATTTTGTCACTTAATAATTCTAATTATGTGGTACATTATGATGTCTTTGCACAGTAATAATTTGGTACAATAACAAAGGCAAATGTGTGTACACTGGATGTGATGCTTCTCAGTGTGCATTTTGGTACATAGAGTGTTACAAAGTATTACTCAATCTAGCATGGTTCCAAAGAAAGTGCAGAGCAAGCACAGTAGTAAAAAGAAAACAAAAGCAAGGAGAATGTGCAGAGCCACAATCAAGGTGAACCAAAGGTGCACAGTGGTAATGAAAATAATAGGATACAATGCAAGAATGATAAAAATTAAGTTTTGAAGAAAATACTAATTGAATTAAAGAAGTCAATTGCAGAAAAGCATGAACATGATATTCCTGTGACTAATATTGTCTCAGAGTACAAGATGGTGAAGTTGACAATCTCAAATCTTCTAAAGAATAAAGATACCATTCAAGCAGCTGATGTGGAAAAAGGAGAAATGAGGTTAGAGAAGCAGAGGACATCAGTGCTGCATGATACGAAAAAACCTTTGTTAGTGTGGTTGAATAAGAAACACATGACAGTGAAGCATGATGTGAAAAAGTCAGAAAACTGCACAGTGATCTACTGCAAGAAAACCTCCCTATGAATGCAACAAGTGATGGATTTGAGGCCTGAGGCCAGAATGATAAATTTCATAAGAGAAGAGGTATCCACAGTGTGATAAAATATGGTGTAGGTTCCAGTGCTGACAAGAACACTACAGAAGCATATAAGAAAAAAATATATGGAATTCAGGATCCAAAGGATGCATCAGTCATCAAGTGTTCACATGTGCTGAAACAGGGCTCTTCTAGTAGAAGATGCTGAAGAGAAATTGTACCACTCTGGAGAAAAAGGCACTTCTGTGGCCAAATCCCACAAAGGAAAGATTGAACCTTCTCCTTCTGCAGTGTGCAAAGGCAAGTGCTGGTCTGAAGACTGAGCTACTCCTGGTGTATATACCATTCCTAAAGCCTCTCTGCATTCAAGGCACAGAAGGTGTTCTTACTGTTTGTCATGTGCAGGACCAAATCAAAATGTGGGGTCATGAGTCAACTGTTCATGGAATGACTGAATGAGGTTTTTACATTCAACATTAAGAAATATCTTTCTCAAAACCAACTGTCTGAAAGGTTTCAGATAGACTGTTACCTGGATCAACGTCCAGCTTTGGTGAATGAAGTGGACACTGAGTAACCCTGAGTATGACTTCATCAAGCTCAAGTTCCTGCCCTCCAACATGACACCTCTCCTATAGCCAATGGACCAGAAAGGGATTTGCAACATCAACAACCTATACACAAAGGTGCTGTTCTCCAGGTACTTTAATGTCACTGAAGAGATATCTTTGATGGTGATAAAGCACCAGAAAAACATTTCCACCACTGCCAAACCTTAGAGACAAATCCTGGGATGCTGGCACATAACATACTTGCAACATAACCTCTCGGAAACTGTGGCCAAAAAGTGTCACTAAATGTGACTTTGAAGGGCTTGATGCATAGGTAGTGGAGAAAGTTGCATCCACAGTCAAAAGCATGGCTCTGGATTTTGGTGATGTAGACCTAGAGGATCTTGTTGAGGACCATATGTAGAAGCTGATGTTGGAAGAACTTGCTGAACTCCAGAGTGAGCAGCACAAGATGCTTATTGAGGAGCATACTGCTGAGGAAGAGGAAGGCAGGTAGGAGGATGGCAGTAATGTGATAAAACCCATTCAGGAGAAATGGCATGAGTGCCAGGATTTCCTTGAGAAGCACAACTCCAACATAACTGTAATGAATGCAGTGTTGAATCTGATGTACCAGAACATCCTTTCACTTTTGAAGAGTTACACAGTGTGGGACAAAACAAGTCCCACTGCAGATTTTCCATCAAAATTCACCCTGCTGCTAAAAGACAAAAGAGAGAAGAAACCCCTGCAAGTGATCTTTCTGATGTTCTTAGATAGGGTGAATCTCCCTGTGGACAATAACCTCCTCCCCACCCAACCTTCCTGTCTGCTCCAGAAGACGCCTCAAGCAGGGGTATTTTTCTCTCTCTTCTCATTGTGCTGGACTAGATTGTACTTTGTTTTGTATTTTTCTGTTTAAAATATACATATGGTGACTATCATATTAACTTTATTTACACTGAGCCTTATGGAAAAGTGTAACTCACTTTGTAACCAAAATCAGTCTGTGATCACATTCATAGGCATCAGAATAGAGTGATCCCACTTACATTGAAGCTTAAGCAGAAATTTTATGTGGTTCATAACCAATTCAGTTTGTGATAAGAACTGCAGAATGAATTAGGTTTTGAAAGGAGGCACTACTGAATCTGAGTGAAGCAAAGCTTCCCGTGACCACAGGAACATCCATCTCATTGCATTTTGAGTCCCTGCAAACACTCATAGGGCTTATTATTTGCAATGAGAAACACCACTGTAGGCACTACTACCATATGACCTTCTGTGGGAGGTAAACTTCCATTACATATATAGGCAGGCAACCTGAGGATGAAAATAGGAGGAGAAATGTTTGTCATGTGTGAGCCTTCACATTTGAGGCTTCTGGGACATGCATAAAGTCCCAGTAGCCCCTCTTTCAGAGGAAATAAATAGGAATTTCAAAGAAATATTCACTTTCAACAAATGGGTCATTATATATTTGGATATCTATCTCAAAAGCAATATTCACACAAAATAGACCATCACGTGAGAGTAGCAAATACATTTCATTGTAGCCAGTCTATACAGAAATAGTTCTAACACAGGATCATTGTACAAAACTGAATTTTAGGCACTTCTGTGACATTAAATTCCAATGGAACTAAATTCCTCATATGTGTAGGGAGGCAATCTGAAATAAAAACAGGTGAAATGCCTGACAATCACTTACACTTCAAAATTCCAACTGCGGCTTCAGAGCCATTCAGAATGTCTCTATGGTGTCCTTTTCACAAGACCATAGTAGCAATTTCAAAGAAACACATACTCAGAAAATGGGTCGCGATATATCTGGATATCTGAGGAGTGCTACTGTAGTGAAGTGGGAATTCTAGTGACCAGAATCTAGTCTGTACACGAATACTCCTAGCTGCAGTTATCTGCAGTTAGGACCTCTACTAGAAGGACTATTCTGCAATTTATTTCTATGCAAGTAAATCCCCATGACATATTCAGGCATCTAAATTTAAAACAAAGTAGGAGAATAAAGTTTGATACCAGTAAACTTCACACCTTGAATTGAGGCTTCTTAGACATTCATATCACTATTATATCCTGCTTGCCATAAAAGCTGAATATAATTTCATAGAAATGCACACACTCACCATACAGGTCCTTATACATCTGGATATTTAACAGGCACTATTGAAGTAGACCTTCCTGTGACCAGATGCACATTGCCCTCAGTGGATATCTGGTGGATACAGAGTCACCTGAAGTTATTTTTTTTGTCTTTTTGAGTAAGGGTCTCACTATGCAGTTCAATGTGGCCTTGAGCTCACTGTGTAGCCCAGGCTGGTCTTGAACTCGCAACAATCCTCCTGACTCAGCTTCCTGAGTACTGGGGTTACAGGCGTGCACCACCACACCTGGCCAGTTACCTGAAGTCTTACACTTTGCAATCAGAAAATAACACTTTAAGCCCTTTAAAACATTAACTTCTATGGGAAATAAAGTCTCATTTTGTATCCAGGCAGCCTATCTGAAAACAATGAAGGAGCCACAAAGTGCGTTATCAGTTAAACTTCAAAAGTTGAATTGAAACCTGTGTAAATAGTGTACTGTTTCTCTGGTGTGAGAATCCAAAAGTGTAGATAAGGAGCAAAATGTGTAATAGAGTGTGAAATAGGAAGAAAATATTCAAATGGGAAGTGGAGCTAGGGAGCAAGAGAGTGAAAGAAAGGAAGGGAAAAGAGGGAAACAAAGCTTTTGTAAATGTGGAAGGGAAGCAGAGTTGAAGTGAGGGTAGGGGAATGGAAAAAATAATCAAGTTATATCATGTACAGGTACAACTGCTTATGATGAATGTGATTCTTATGTAAATGTAAAATGTGCCAATACAATTAATGAATGAAAAAAATAAATAGAAAAGATCATTAAAAATCATTAGACATTTCTAATGCTATAATAACCTGAATATAATAGGAGCTGAATAACGTTTTCAAAGAAACACATATATTCAGCAAATGGGCAATGGTTTATGTCTGGTTATCAGAAGCAGTATCAGAGTGAAGCAAGCTTCCCCTGGACCAGGGACACACCCATCTCAGTAGATCTAGTCTATACACAACCTCCCTAGCTCACCTCTTTTGATTTCAGGAACTACACTTTAGGCATCATGATGCCATTCACTTATATTGCTGCAGGAAGTACCTCAAAAGCCCATAAGCCGTAAAGCTGAAGAGAAAATCATGATTGGCTGGATCTCACAACTACAAACCTGGGAAAGAAACCACTCATCAAGGACACAGGAAAACTTTCTCTGGCTCAAATGTTTTTAAAATTTTTTTTCTGTTTGGTATCACTTTTATCTTTCCCTCCTCAGGTTTCTAGAATAAGCTTTTCTAAATTTTCTCCCATTTTTTCTCTCTCTTCTTTTACTTCCTTTTAGCTGTTTCTCTTCAAATTCTTTTCTTATCTTGCATCAGCTGGGGTTGCTGTTTATCTTTTGTATTTTTTTTCTGTTCACTCTTTGCAGCACTCTGCATCACTATTAATATCATTTTATTTTTTATTTTTATTTTTTTTGGTTTTTCTCCGGTACCGGGAACCGAACTCATGACCTTGCGCTTGCCAGGCAGGCGCTTTTGCCGCTGAGCTAAATCCCCAGCCCCTTAATATCGTTTTAGTCCTCAGACTCCCTGCCTTACTTTTCTCTCCTCCCTTTCCTATCTCATTAATTTTTTAAATCTTGTTTGTTTCATTCTCTAGTTCTCCACTCCATTCACATTTATTAGTATCACTATTAAGCTTTATGAATCTTAGACAGTTAATTCTATGATATTATTGTGGAATACTATGCTATTTTTAGTTGAGGTAAAGCAGTTCCATGTATAGATATTCAGTGTACATCATCTGAAGGTCAATATTTGGTTTGTCTTAGCGTTTCCACTGTAAATCTCTGTTTTATGGGGAAGGGTGGTACTTTAGTGGTTCTTAGTGTTTGTCAATATTCATTGTTGTGTTTCATTGTATAATTGATGCAGACTTTATGATTCTAGCCAAGGAGACATACCTGGTTCTCTTAATTGATTTTCCTCAGATTTCAATATCTGGATAGCCTTCAGGTCATCAACAATATTGTGGCCCATTCCGGCAGATTGTGTATTGGGTCAAATATGCTGCAAGCTCTGACTTTACTGACACAGAGGTGGTTTGATCCTGGGATGGAGACAAAGGTCGGTAGTTAGCCACACCCAGAGAAAGCAAATGAAGGTAGAATTAACTAAAGAGGTCTCCATACTAGAAACAAAGTTTGACATTAAAATCAAACCATAAGACTCAGCACAAAAAACAAACACATAGAATCATGAGAACTCAAGCCCACAAAATGCTTCTACAAACTCCCAATTCCCCCAAAGTTGATCCAAGGACATCAAAGGGGATGAAACCAAAATCCACAGGCCCCAGTTATTTGAAATGGTATCAGGCTACATAATAAAACATCAATATGACTTTTGGCAAGTTCATAGAATAGGTAAGTTGGACTTTCTTCATAAATGATCTTTACCACATTTAGCGTGGTATGTTCTATTTTTAGTTTCTACATTTTGGGGGGATTTTAAGAGATATTTTGTTATTTATTTCTACTTTAATTTCATTACAATCGCTAAACATAGTTCACATGATATTAATCATTTTAAAAGCACCATGACTTGTTTTATATGTAGAAGATGGTCTTTCTTTATAAATTCCATAGTCTGTTTATACTTGAAAACAATGCCTACTGCATGTTCTTGGATGCTGTGCTGTATAAATGTCAAAGAATTCCTATTTGTTGATAGCATCACTTATGTCTTCCACAGATTTGTTAAGTTTCTACTTATTCTGCATATCATGGAGAGGGCTAGTAAAATTTCTCATGATATCATGGGTTTGTCTATTTTTCTTTATAGTGCTATCAGTTGTGCTTGATGTATATAAAGTCTCTGTCATCTGAAGCATCCATGTTTAGGACAGCAACGTTCTCTTCAAATACAGATCCTTCATTATAAATTGTGCTTTACCTGGATAATATTCTTTGCATCCAAGTGTACTTTCAATTAGAGTACAATGGTAGCTGGATTCATGAACTTCATTTGTTTACAATCTTTGTAGGATGGCTGCATTTTTCTTCCTGTAGGAAAGTTGGCCACAGTTGTGTTCCTCAACTGATGTAGAGTTTGCACATGGAAGGAAAATTGTGCTGAGCACTTTTATCTGAGATCCAGATTGTTTGTAAATGGCAGCATTCCTGACCTGAGACATTACTGTATTACAGCAGCCCAGGTATGTTTTGAGTAGCAGTAGTGAATGATGATTCTTTTCTCTCTGTTCATTTTTAAACTACATATTTCTTTTTGTTGGAGCAAATTATTGAAGGCAATATGTAGTACAATGTCTTACTTTGTTTTGCAGTCTGCCAATTCCTGATTACTTTTTGTGATGTTTTGACTTGTATGAGTTTCCTATCGCTGTTGTTACAAATTACCAGAGAATTTGCAATTTAAAGCAATATATATTCGGGGCTGGGGATTTAGCTCAGTGGCAAAAGTGCCTGCCTGGCAAGCACAAGGTCGTGAGTTCGGTTCCTGGTACCAGAGAAAAACCAAAAAAAAAAAAAGTAATATATATTCAATCTCATCCAATTCTTGAGTGAAGAAATCCAAAATGATGATGTTGGCAGTGACTGCCAACTGATACAACCCTTGTGGAAATCGGTATGGAGATTCCTCAAAACCAAAGTTAGACATTCCATTGACCTTTCTATGTATATTCCCAAAGGAGTTAAAGACATCACAGCACAGTGATGTATGTATATACATGTTTATAGCAGCACAATTCATAATAGCTAAATCTTGGGAAAAGTCTATATGTTTATCAACAGATGAAAAACAGATAAAAATATCTGGTGCTTGTGTACAATGCAGAATTCCTCAGCCACAAAGCAGGAAAACTTGATCATTTGTAGGAAAATGGATGCAACTTGAGACCATGCTGTTAAGTAAAGTAACTCAGACACACAAGCTTAAATATCACATGCTTTCTCTTAAATGAAAAAAAAATTCATATATCCAAAATAACAGACTGATAATAGAAAAAGTGAAAGAAAGAATGAAAAAAACTGTACTGCAGCATGAAGAAGGTATCTAAAAGTGTATCTTGACTTATTATGTTTGTCTTATGCATTTTATATATTCTCTGGCCTAAGTCTGCTTTTTACTCATATATATATATATATACACACACACACATAGAAATTTATAGGATTTTATAAGTAAAGGTATCTGATGTTGGATAAATGAGGTGGCATGGAGGGAGGGGAAAGGAGAACTGAAAAGTTATGCATCTGTACCAATCTCCTACAGTAAATGTAATGTAATCATTATGTATTACATATATGTACTAATGAAAGTAAAAATAAAATAAGTAATCATAAAAAGTGTAAAGATTAGCATCTTTATGTACCTCAGCATAGTCTGAAAAATAGACAACTATGCAAAAACCTGAATGAATTTTTTATTGCCTTAGTAAAATTCTATGTCAAATTGAGAGTCTCAAAGAAATTTCTTAAAGATAAAATGCCTTTGTCATTAGCAAATTACATATTTATCAAGGTATACATTCTAATGCAAGAATCAAAATTATAGTATTAGTCATACAAAGCAGTCAATGAGATTAATGACAAAAGTATTGAAATTAGAATTAGCTATATCCCTTACATTTTCCATTCATTTGGTTCTATATTTTCTTTATTTATATACTATTAGTTTTTAAATTGTGTGCCTACTGTTTCCTGGGCCAAAGTGCCATTGTTTACACTTCAAATTTCTGTTATTTTTATATATGAAATAAGAGCTAACAAGGAAAAAATCTAGTCAAAGTCATTACAAGAAGCATAAACAAATGCAGAAATAGCAACTAAACGAACTCCCATGAGAGGGAGTGATTTGCTGTGTAAAACAATAATAAGTTTCTGGAAGGCCAGGTCATTTTCTTCTTTGTTGTCCCAAAGCAAACTGACTCACTGATAATTATTGGCGAACAGTTCTGAATGAATTAAAACTGTGTAGATTGAGAAGAAAGTAATAGGAAAATTCATTATTACACTTACCTCTAATACAGAATTCATCCTGAGTAGACAAGTACTGAACCACTGGCAACTTTTTTCCTCTTCCATGAAGAAAAAACGTCAGCCTAATTAAGAGGAGCATGCACCAGCTGGGGAGTGCCAGGACCCACCAGAACCCAGGTGCTAAATCTGGCTCCAATGTGCAGTTTAGATAAATTGTGAAGGCTTTGTTTTCTTAATGCATATATGGAAAAATTATATTACATGGCCACTAAGATCCCTTCCTTGTAGCATATTTCATGGTCCTACAAGGAAGTCAACGAAGCTTAACTTGTGCATTTTATAGAAAGGATAATGTATCTTAAGTTTCTAAACTTTTATATGAGTTTTAAAGATTAAAATTCTTTAAGAACAACTTGAGAAATTGTAAAAGATTTTTGGTGTATGAGATGGAATAAAACTGCAATTTTTCAAACTGAAAATAGTAGAGGAACTTTATTTTCCTGAATAACCCTGTACCTCCAAGTGTCTTCAATTACTGAAAGTAATTGATTGGTAATAATATTTATTGCTGTGGGCCCTAGAGTCTATTAAGTACTTTTCCTAGATCAACGTGTTTAAACTTGAGTATTTAGGATAAGGGCCAGTACATATGGACTTTATAGACAAGAGATGCAGAAGGCCATATGTTTAGCAAACGTTATAGCAAAGATGATTGAGTAAAGATGTTGAGTATATGTGAGTATAAATTCCGAGTTTCATACGAAGGGAAAACTCAAGAATAAGAACCACCACACTTGCAAAGAATAAAAAATAGAGAAATTGTCACACTGCATCTCATATGAAGTCAGATTCAAGAACACAGGTGCACATTAAGGTATCAAAATTTGTATGCAGTAGGATTTTGGCTGCTCTAATATCACTCAGGCTATTCTAGAGGAAAAGAAAATTAAATGAATTAGAATTAAACAAATGATTTTAGTCAGCAATAACTGACATGACCTAAGAGTAATAAATAAATGTGTTTCCATAAGCAACCAAAATATACAGAGAACCAAATGCACTGCATGCTGCTTTATCAATATTAATGTACTATTAGCTGAGTATCTTCCCAGAGTCTGTGATGACAGGTATGAAAACTAAAGGAAATATCAAAACAAAGCAAAAATAGAAAGTCAGAAAGAAAATGGCAGAGAAGCTGATAAAGCTAAAATCAACACTTGTGACGAAACCACCATCAATTAATCATTACATCATTTTATCACAAAAAACAAATGAATTACCACTCTCTTTTCTACACATATTGTGAATCACAAACTTTGGATGCCTTGTTATTTTCATCAAGCCTCCTACACTGATTATGTTCCTTACTTCTTAACATGATGTTTGCTTACCTGAGGGCAGTGAGACAATTTTTTTTCACTCCCTTTTCAGAAGAGCAAAAAAAGGAAAATAGATAATATGTAAAACCTTAATTCAAATTATTTGACATGGACAGAACTTACTTCACAAAAATGTTGATCATTATCATTGCTTTCCTTTCATTTGGTGTTTCTCTTATTTACCACTAGAAGGGTAATTGAGAGCTATTTGGTACTTTCATGATGAAAAAGAGAAAAGTGAAATGTGTGAGACATACCTGAAATCAACAGCAACAAATAAACCTATTAAACCATTACTGATGGCGAACAATACATAGGAAATAAATGCTTACATTTATTTCTCAACATTAACAAGACATTAACAAAACATTCTAAACATTAACAGGAATGTGTGTTTCACTGGATAATAACCACACTGGACTGTTTAGAGAGGCAGTCTGTAATCATTATGCAAGTTCACATTACCTCCTGACTACACGGGACCCTGACTGAATGGAAACAGTTAAGGTAAATTTCATACTGCACTATTGTATGCTTGCCCATGGATGCTTATTTCGGAACAGAAAATTCTCTAAATCAAACATTGTTTGCTTTTCCCTAACACAGTAAGTAAACTAGTAAACGATGATACATTTAGGTCTTCTAAAAGGCCATTATTTAAGATATAAAACTTAAAAGAAATAAAAATGAGATGAAGGCACTGTATATGATTTCTAGAAAATGAGAAG